TGTCTCCGCCGTTGTGGCGTCACACAAGTTTTCCTAAAAACCTTATCGATTTATAAACATTAGAACCGACTATACTAAACACAATTAAAATATATAATCGATTTGACAATTAAACATTAGATTGGTTTTTAGAGATCGCTACAATTTAAAAGTTTTCTATCTACGACGTTCGTAAAACGTTCTATGGACTAAGGCGCAGTTCCGCAAACAGTTTTATGAGAAATTTTAAATGCAAAGTTCAAATGTACGAAATTTTGAATTTTTTTTTAAATATTAAAATAAAATGTATGATATTAATTATAAGTCTACGCTGTTAATATAATGTGACACTTTTTTAAAACTTGTCCATTTGTTTCTACGACCACGAGAGATGAGACAGACCATCATCATCATTAATGCTGGGTTGCATAGTTGCATAAACAATTTATTAAATTTAATGGTTCACTAAAAATTTAATGACCAAATCATGGCCCACTATGGCACTATATCTTGTTTAAGGGACCATCAACTCACTATTGATCCATTAAATGTTTTATGCAACCCGGCATAAGTCATATAGATTAGGTAGGTTGGAAATACGAAAGCATGTTTATGAACAATAACTGCTCAATAATCAAAACTCAAAAATGATTTATTTAAAATGCATTAAAAAGGTTTTATTTTAATTTTGCCTAATTTATTTAAATTAATAAACTAATAATAACAGTCATCGGTAGTCATAAAATATCAATATTTTTTTGATTAAATGAATTTGGAACGTAATAACTTTTTTTCAGAATATTTTTTTTGGGAATTTGAGAACATGAGTTTATTTCTTAAATTATTTACTAATTATATAATTTTAACAATTTTTGTCATACTTTTAAGTAGCATCATTTTTTTTTTTTTTTTTTTGTTCGTCAAGTCTTTCTGTTACACCTTGTATTATACAACAACAGACTAGAATGATAGCTATATCTTTCTTATCATTGAAGTCGGCCGCCGCTTACAAAATAATATTATCACAGTTTATTATGTATATAAATCTAAAATAAATGTAAAAATTGACTGCTTTATAAATGGTAGCCGCATAAGCGCAAATAGACAAATTATTTTGGGGGGACTAAAGCCCCTCCTTTAATATTTTCTAAAAATTATATATGCTCAGTACTAATTACTGACTTTTGAACTGGGGGGACTTTGCAGAAATCTTGGGGTACCCCCAAGCCCCTACCTATTTGCGCCAAAGGGTAGCCGACTTCAATTTGGGTCACAACTGTAGTATAAAGACGGCTACATAGTTATTGTATAATATATCTATGGTCCAAATACGGCCGATAAATAAAGCACAGAATCACAATTTAAGATATACAGGTTATTCATCGACCCTATGCTCATTCACAACAAAAGTGGTGCCCGAAAATGTTGGTTTTAAACAGCTGATCGACGATATGAGAAAAGCTACTATAGCAGCGCTCCAAGACGTAATATTGTATATCCATATATTGATATATTTTGTAGTGCCAAGAGAAATCACTTTAGTGCAAAAGGTCTAACTGTAATAATTGCTAGGACAAGATTTTCGCTCACCAAAAAATAAGTTTCGTTGAGTAACCTGTATATTATTATCTATAAATCGTGCACAGAATTATCAAGTGCTTTCAACTGATAACGTTTGTTTGTTTGTAAGCCGATAAGCCGGTTTTCTCATAGGACATCAACAATCAATATTGTTCTTTGGTATCTTGGAGGATTTCAGGACCTTTTTTTTTAATTACTACGAGTATCGGTGTCGCAAGTTGTGGCCCCTTAAACCATCGTTTTGAGGCAGCTGCGGCTTTTATTGTGGTCCCCATCAGATCAGGTTCCAAACAAACAATTTACATAGGAATCAACCACAACGTATGATCATGAAAATGACCGGTAGAAGAAAACACCCCGTTTGGACTCATTTCGATGAAATTACCTCGGTCGGAAAATCGAAACGAGCCGTGTGTAAGGACTGTAAACTGTCAATAGTAGCATTAGTCGAAAGGATGATAAAACACAAGATTGCCTGTACACCGCTCGTCGATGAAAACAAAATTTTTGGAAAAAAGTATAGCATCTATGATCCTGTGGAAAGTAACAGCATAGCAACTACAAATTTATGGAAAGATTCATCATCGGATTCTAATTTTGAACACGGTAACTTGAATGATGAAAATGAAAACCTTAGAAGTTACCAGTGAGCAATATTATAGGACCTAAAGTTAATATCTGTTTATTTATTCTGCATATTTATTTTCATATAGCCTTAACAGATAGAATACCTACTCGCTAAGACAATATAGATGTGGAACACACATAATATGAGTAGTATCATTCAATCATTGATTTTATAATAGTAGTAGTTATAAAACCAATGGTACATTGGTACCTAGTCATCTTATGCAATATAAAATGTTATGTTTAATTATTTTATTTACAGTGGCCAAAAGTACAAAATATGTACCTTTGTCATTGCCGATAAATCAATCTGATAAACAGGAATTTGAAACATGTAGTAGAATTACAAATTCAGAAAAAAATAAACTTGATGGTCAGGTGGCCAGGATGATTTATACAACTAATTCTTTGAAAATAATCAAACCCCCAGAGTTCAGAGCAATGATTGAAATGTTACGGCCCGAGTATAAAATACCAAATGATATCAATATAGCTAACAAGTTAGTAAGTAAAATTCATAACAAACATTCGCATGATGCATGCTTTTATCTATGAATACTCATTGGTCAATGATTTTTTTGTACTTTTATAACAATTGACAATTTGTAATACTGAGAAACAAACTGCACACCTGATTGAGTATTTTGACACAAAAGTGAAAAGACCAACTGCATGTCTACGATCTGCATACCTATAAATCTGCATTCAGTCTAAAGCATACCATCTATATGATCTATATGCAAAACATTCATAATAATTTGGTAACCAGTACATAAAATCTAGCTCAACATGCCAATTTGGAAAGCATTGATATTCATACCTACATATGTAATTTATATACATTGAATTTTTTTTGCAAAAGATTATCAAATACCAGCCTTATTTATCAAGAGTGTCTTAAAACCGCACAATTTCACAAATTTGCCATAGATTTTTTTTTCTAAGTTAAGATGTAAATGCAGTATTAGGAAGATCAGGCTAATACACCTAAACACTATTTAATGAACATTTTATATCAATGACTTGTATAGGTGCAAATCACAGGGAACCCAAATTTCCCATTAGCCCCCAAAAAATATACAGTTTTTTAACTGTGTGGGATCTCTCATATTGATGTTAAAAATGTTAGCCCCATGACAAAATAGTTGGCTGGTATTATCACAGTTTTTTTTTAAGTTACTCTTAACTCACCTATATTGTGGTTCTCCACTGCTTATTGTCTGTCAATCATATACATACATAATATATAACATGGAAAAAGAATCAACCAATCAGAAGTGGAGAACTACAACATGGGCTGTATGTGAAAAAGATGTGCAAACTGAAAAAAACTATTTTTAACTGTAATGATACCGTATCTATTTTGGCATGGTTAGCTCCCTCTGAAATTCTAATAGATTTACGCCTATGATGATTTGAAGGGGAGAAACTAGAAAGTTGTCAATTTAATAAAGACATAAATCCTTAGAATATAATATAGATATGTCATATCCTGAAGTCATGCCCTATAATCTATAATATCATGATATTATGTTTATAGTATTGCAAATTGTAATAACAAAATATGTAAAAAAAATTTGTGTGGTAGGTATATTAGTGTAAACTGTAAACTATTGGAATAACTAAACAGATAAATGAACATATGTTCTAGTTAAACAAACTGATACTATTGGCTATGTTTGAAGAATGAACATATATTTTCTATTTTTGGTATTATAAAGTAAAGTAAGAAATAGATTATAATATTATACTGAAAATACATTTAAATCGCAATTAAACTAGTTACCATATAATATTGGAAAGGTTAAACCCAAATGTATAATACAACCGTGGCGGATCCAGGGCTTAATTTGGGGGGGGGGGCAAAAGTACAAAAAGTTCCAGAATTAGCTAAACACAGTGTTAAACAAAGGAAAACTACGGTGATGGGGGAGGGGCAAATGCTACCTTTGCCCTCCCTCTGGATCCGCCACTGTAATACAATTGTAAGCGTATTAAGACTAATGTCAATGTTTAATAGACAATAGTAAAGTTTGGTACTAATTAGTTAAATATTTATTAATATACAATTCATATAAAGAACCCTTTTTTTTACTTATCTGATTATTTTGATTTACTGTTGGTAATTTTATATTTAATTCTTAAATTTTGTATTGGAAGGGTATTATTATTTTTCAAAATATTCTGTTTTGAATTTTGCATTATATTCAAGTTAGGTAATTTTAACAAATTTGAAAAGTTTTATAATTTTATGTTGTGAACAATTCCATCCTGCTCAGTGATATTTTTAGTAAACAATATATCAAATTAATTTACATACTGTATACTTATATATTATACATAGTGTAACAGAAAGATGTAACAGATGAAATATGAAAAAGGTGGGCAAGTGGGTCACTATTAAATCATAATATAAGAAAACCGATATTAAGCGAAGACAGGCTGTCAGCCTATTGCCTATATTAGTATATTACTAAGTATGTTAGATATATAATATTATTGCTATTAAAATAATTTATTTTACTATCAGTAATACGAGTAATGTTATAACGGTTTTACTATAAAACATTTTCTAAAAGTTAGATTTACAAATTGTTTATTTTGAAAAAATAATCAATTAGATTAAAATTTCTTATTTTCAGTATTATAAAACAAAATAAAAATTGTGTACTCTATCCAAGCACATGCGTCAACATGTATAAAAAAAAATAACAAAAGTTATTTTATTTGTCGGTCATTCTGTTTTTCCTTATATATAGATTGTAAATGTGTCATAAAGTCATATTAAAAAATGTATAAATGTTATGTTTTAGCAAGCGGACGCAGAAAATCAACATTTTAATTGGAGTCAAACCTCTGAGGACAGTTATGCAGAAGCAAATGACACAAATGCAAGTGGCTATGAGGCGGACAGTGTGCTGGCTTCAATGATGCATGAGTCCATGGATGACTACCACAACCAGGAACCAATTGTGGACGTCCAGGAGCCACAAACATGGTCATCGTGTAGAAAATACCGCGGTATGCAGCCAGTAACAGGTGGAGACTATTCAGACGATGATGGTGGGGGTTACAGTAGCAGGAAGATGATGCGAATGTCTAGGCCTGATGCACCATCTGATGAGTTCAATACATTCTCAGACTATGTGGCTGAACGGATGCGTAACCTTAAAGCTGACAAAGCTCTACAACTAATGGCCCGACGAGACATTGAACAAGTATTGTTCAAGTATGAAATGAAGTTGTTGGAGCAGAAGAGAGATTCACAACAACACCAACAACCCGACACTGAGGCGGCAACTACGTCAAAGTCCATTTCACCATCACCTGTCAGTGACTTGGAACAACAGTAGACCTTAATTATATTAATATATACGACAGTGTTTACTAGGTGATTACAACTAGTCTTTCAGGATCAGCATCCATTTCTGTACATTGTTTAAAATAATAATATTAATATTGAATAATGCTACAGGGAGAACTATTAATGCTCACGTTAACCCTGAAGTTATACATATTATATTTTAGACATTTGTATACAGCCAACAATTTTGTTTATGTTACTATGTAAACTTAAAGACAATTTATATACATAATATTGATTCCTATATATTTCTATTATTATTAAATGTATGTATTTCTAATAAAACATTTTACACTTTAAGAGAATGATTTGATTACATGCAAAAATGATCTAATCAATTAGGCCTACCCTGAAATCTCAATTATCTAGTTTCTTGTGTGGCTTAATATTGAATTTTATATCAACAAACAATATTTAAAACATGAAAAAAAATCTCAACTGTGTTCATATTTATACTAGCCGTGAGGCCAGGGGCGTAGCTAGTAGGTAGGCCTGGTAGGCCCAGGTCTACCCAGATTTTCTCTAGAAAAAAACCAATAATATTAAAAATAATAATATTCAGACACTTATACGCTTTTTTTCAAGAAACAAATTTCAAAACCCCACAGCACTGTGAATAGTCTGTGATGCTAGATGGGTCTCAAAATATAAAAGTAAACAATTTTTCAAAACTCATTTTGGTAGTATTTCAAAAGTTCTTAATACATTTAAAGAAAGTTCTAAAAACGAGAGGCTGCAGAGGCAAAGGGATTGATTTTATAGTTTGCCAAGTTTGAAGTTATTGTCATACTTGTTTGCTTAAATGAAATATTAAACATCGTAAACTGTCTTTCAATTAACTTACAGTCATTATACTTTAAATATAGAACAGTGCACTATGTTAATTAAGGCAACAAAAAAAAACAAATTTCGGATTTATGTGAGGATAAATATTTCTATGAATTATATGAACAGTTATTGATAATTGCAGAAAATGCAAACGTATCTACTCCATCAAATAATGATGCTTCTTCAAATAGGATGTCTCAAGGCTCAAGTCGAATGACAGATCATTACATAACTTCTACTACTGGTAAAAGACGTATTTTTTCAATTGAGGAAAAAAAACTGAACTTAAAATAATATTTTAAAATATTTTAGATGTCATATGTGTTGAAATAAACAGGCGATTTGATGCAAATGGTGATTTTTAAGCAGTTTTAGGTGTATTAGACCAAACTTCAAAAGAATATTTAGACTATGTAATTTTGCAAAAACTTTTCCATTTTATCGGTCTGATGAATTTTTCATTAAACTAAAATATCAATGTGCAGTAATGTGGTAAAACATTATTTTCATCTAGTTCTGGTCCTTATGAACTGTTGAATCAAGTACAAAGTTATCAAGTTGGATTTGAAGAATTAAAAAAAAGTAATTGAGCAATAAGTGCTGTAATACCTGTATCTAGTGCTTCAGCTGAAAGAAACTTTTCAACAATGAGAAGAGTGAAAACATACTTCAGATCGACTATGAAAAGTTCTAGACTAAATGATTTCCATTACTTTTCATAGAAAGGGAAATAAGTGGACAATTTATGGATAATCCATCAGCTGTAATATTGACGAGTTTGCTTTCATGAAGAAAAGAAGATTAGAATTTTTACTTTGAAAATAGATTATAAATTAACAATATGTACATTATTAGTTACGAGTATAATAATTAATATTTATAATTGTATTTTGTAAAACTCTCGTTTTTAGGCCCTTAAATAAAAATTCCTCTTTTGAAACTATCTACGTATTTTTTGGTTCAATTTGTTTTGTTTTAAGTTATTAGTTAATAATTATTAAATATTGATAAGAATAATCATTGAAAACTTTCTGTTGGTTAGTAGAAGTTTTATAGTGGGCCTACCCAAAAAAAAAAATCCTAGCTACGCCCCTGAGGCTGAGGAGGTTAATACAGAATCCCTGGCAATATCACTGTCACTAGCTACATAAAAGTTGTACAACTATTAATCAATTAATTAATGGTCTTATGAACTATCAACTAGGAAAGTACATCAATCACTGTTATGATATTTTATAACAGTTAATGTAGTAGTTAAACTTTCAATCTATATATAAATCAAGCATATAACGCAATTTGAATAACCTAACTATACACATAAATACATAATTATTACAAATAATATTATTTTTATGTTTTTTTACAATAAATTTAAGTTTTTTGGAGTGTGAATGAAAACACAGCAAAAATTAAACTTTTATTTCTTAAGTGGAAACACAAAGTATAGATGACTTAATTTTTCATCTGTAAAATTATTTATTTCTATTGATTTGATACGATTTTTCATATTAGAAAATTATTGTAAAATGTACGATCACAAATAGGTATATAAATGTATTATTCACATAATTATAAGTGAAGTATCTTGCTAATCAATTTCAACTGCCATAGGATCATAAATCATTACACAAATGACACTACAGTATAGCCATCTTCATTATGTATAGCCTTATAGGGATAATTATTAAATAATGTATTCTCAAATAAGTGGCAGCTCTAGGGTTTTTTTTATTTGGGGGGGGGGGCATAAACAACAATTATTTTTTTTGTTATTTGATAATAAGTACTTACCTGTAATATCGAAATATATTCAAATGCTTAAAAATTAGTACCATAGGGCATATACAACCCGGTATCTGTACGTTTAACCCCTCGGACTTTAGCGGTACTGGACGTTTTCCCCATGAATCGATATATCATTTTTTTACACATAACAATAGGTTGGAAAATAGGTTTTCTTGTTTTACCCAAAATATACGATCATCTATCGGGAGATTGCCAATTGCGCTTAAAATTAGTTTTTCATATACAAATATTGCAATCTAAACATTTTAGGGTCTACATACCAATTATGCTCTAAACTGTTTAGGGTCGATAGACAATTCCGCTCTATACATTTTAGAGTCCATACTCTATAGACCAATTGAGCTCAAATTAGTTATTAGTTAGTTATAATTACTTATATAGTAAATTAAATGAATACACTAACCAATTTTTTCATAATATATAATATACCTATTATAAATAAATAATTAATTTTCTTTCTTCACGTTTAACAAGTTACTTTTTGATCGTCAATTATTTAAAATTAAAGTTATACCAGTGTTTCTGTTATATTATAGTTTCACATTTTTTGGTAATGGACAATGGTGGTACTTAATATTTTTTACGAGTAAGATAAACGCTTCGTCGTATAGTATAATCAAAATAGTGAGTGATAATAATAACGTTTCATACAATTCCCAATGCTTTTATAAAATATATTATAACCAGTAAATAGTAGTAATCAATCGATCAATCAATAAGTTTTTAATTTTATGCATTTTAGTGTGTCAATTGTTGATGTTGATGGAATTATACCGAACAACAATATGTTCATATTGGTGAAGGGCGCAATATTGGTACACTGGCCAAAGTTATGTGAAAGGATTATTTAATTACATTTATATATAATATATAATTTTAACAATTATCTAGTAAATCTCAAAAATCTCGTAAACGATGCATCTATTTATTGACATTTGTAATTTGTATATTATTATTGTTTAATGTTTTATAGATTCTGAGCGGAGCGAAAATATGTAGGTATATTGACTTGTGTTTTTTTGAGAATTGTGAATCTAGTTGGTACTTTTGATAAGTCAAAATTGAAAATTCAAAGTAGTTTTAGAAAGCATTAAGAAAATAAGAAAAACAAAAAAACAATTTACCCAAAACCAATTTTTGAAAAATCTATTTTATTTTTTTAGTGTAGGTAATTCAAAAACTAATAACTGTAACTAATAACTAATAACCCTTTAAATTTTCGCCAAATATTTATATGATACAAGGCCATTGCCTTAAAAACACCCCTTATTTGGTTCGGCGTAAGTACCTACTGCTCAAAATTAATTTCCAACTGGCGCTTTGATTCCAACGGCGGATGGCAGGTGAGCTCGGCCAAGTGCGGAGACGTCGACATCAACACGGTAGGTACCTATACGTGATTGTATAATTGCCCTAACTGTGATTGAATATTTTTTAGATTTTTCGGTAAGAGAATTAACTACCTACGTGGAATCTTGTTTTAAATTTTCAATCCTTAGCTATAAAAACTGAACATTTTATAATTTATTAATTACGATGATTAATAATTTTCGAGATTTTGAAAAATTCTGTCAAAATTCGATCTTTAAATGCTTATAAAAAAAAATTGTGCCAATGTATTTTTAATATTTTTCAATTGCTATTGTAACAATATATCAGGAGCCTTGTATTACATTTTTACACTTTTTGGCCCAACAGATAAAACTTTATTGATATTCATAGAAAAAAAAAACTAAAAAAATTGAAAAATGAAAATGTCCGTAAACAGCTCAAAAAGAGTTAAAATATTTTCAAAATCGTATGGTGTATAGGAAATGCTAATATAGACATTCAGTGAAATTTTCATGTATCTACAGTTATTCGTTTTTGAATTACAACAAAATAAGGAAATCGCTACATGAGAAATCGAGTGAATATCCAATGTTGTAAAAATTTGAATTTCAAACGCTCATAAAAATTTAATTTAACTGTCCGGTAGAGATTTTTTTATTGATACAGGTAGACAAACTTATGAGTAATCTTGTATTACATTTTCAAATCTTAGATTTAAAAGGAAAAATTTTTACGAATTCTTAACTCAAAATAATTTGCTAATTTTCGTGATTTTTCCATATTTTGTCAATTTTTGAACTTTAAATGCTTATAAAAAAAAATTGTGACTAAGGATTTTTATATTTTTCATCTGCCTTTGAAACAATATATTAGGAGCCTTCTATTAAATTTTCAAGCTTTCGCAACCAACAAATAAAATTTTATTGATATTTCTAGAAAAAAAACTAAAAAAAAATGAAAAATGAAAATGTCCCTAAACTGTTCAAAATAAATCAAAATATTTTGAAAATGTTATCGTGTATA